ATACACTAATATTTGGCAACAAAAGCAATCAAAATAACCCTAAGTGTACATGCACCTTAGGTGCTGTGAATTATGAACATTGGTTTGGCATGCGGAATTAAAGAACACACAAAGAACATGGTGATTTCGGTGTTTAAGAGATGCATTCGATTATGTAAGGTGTTACAAAAAAGGATCGAGATCTAAATCTACATAATTAACACACTAACACTCTCAATGTTAGATCTCTCAAGCACACCTCTACATGTGAAATGAACCTACCTTATATAGAGGTGTTTACATGTCTCTCTCTCTCTCTCTCTCTATCTCTCATGTCAGAAGGCTACTTTACCACATGCAAGTGGGTCTACAAAAGTCAAACCATTTACACAGTCATACATGGATAACTTTGTACCCAACATTCTCCCCCTCAAAGTTAGGAATGGATGACCCGCTTCAAATCTTCCAAACTCGAGCAACTTCACGAACCGAGCCTCAAATGTGACACATGTAGAGATGAACATCAAATCTTCAACTCTTTCATGATTCTTCAATTTGGGTTCTAGAATGTGAAACCATACGAACCAAGCATCAAAAGGTAATTAGGAGTTTCTCAATCTCCAAAAAAATTACCCAAGTTTGAGCATAAAAGCACACTCCAAAAATCTTCAATAAGTCCAAACCCATCATGAACCGAAACCACTTCCGAATCTCCAATCGAATCATCTCATAAACTTCAAATACCCGAGGTCACTTCAGTCTTCAAGTTCGCGTAATATGAAAAATTCAACTTTCGAATTTCCATATCTAAATCTCTTCCCCTTTTTATAATAAAAAAAGTGATTATAAAACCAAAAAGGGAATGGGAAAGCGCTCAATTCAGAATTTTTCAATCCAAAACTCCCCCTTAACACATGGCATAAACATTTTGCTTCAATCCGGAAAATTTAAAAATTCTTCAATTTTTAGCTTCGTTCGTGGACCGCCTTTGATAAAATTTCTCAAAATTGAGTAGAAATTGTCAATTTAAAATTCTGTAGTGACCCGGTGCGCCCAAAACAGCAAAAAATGCGAAAATCTCCCCCATTTGCAAAACTAGGTAGAAAGCGTCAATTCGCATTAACTGCAGGGGCCTGATTCGAAAATTATCAAAGTTCTCAGAATTTCAGCCCAATGTCGAAGGTGGGTAAATTCTGCCAAATCTTCGAAACTTCAGGAACAATTTCGAAACAACTGCACAACTCTTCAAACTTTCGACAATTTAGTCCTCATTTCGAAAGTGGGTGCAAACTGTCAATCTTTCGAAACATTAAAGACCAATTTCGAAACTATGCCTTTTTCATTCAATTTGTCGAAAATTAAGCCTCATTTCGAAGGTGGGTAAAAGCTGTCAAACTTTTGAAACTTTAAGGTCCAATTTCGAAAATTTATGTTTCTTCCCCAATTCATGTATTCCAGTTCGCGAACGTCGATACCAAAACCTTCGAAACATTGACACCAAAACCAGCCTTCACTTCCAGTTTTCAACCCAAATCGATTCCAAAATTAGTTCGACATCTAAAGTTTGACAACGAACTTAAAATCAGTATCGACAATCATCAATCAAAATCGAATTCCAACAATTTCACACCATCGATTGCAACTACTAGGATTGAACTTTACCCCACAATACGATTGATAGAGAAGACCTGCTTAACTTTGCTCGACATCAACCCAAGACTCAATTCCAAATCATAAATGCTCCAATTGCGACGAATTTAGCCTAACCGATAACCGTTTCTTCAAAAAATCATGTTGATCTTCGAAGACCCGCTCTGATACCAATTGATGTGAATTATGAACATTGGTTTGGCATGCGGAATTAAAGAACACACAAAGAACACGGTGATTTCGGTGTTGAAGAGATGCATTCGATTATGTAAGGTGTTACAAAAAAGGACCTAGATCTAAATCTACATAATTAACACACACTAACACTCTCAATGTTACATCTCTCAAGCACACCTCTACATGTGGAATGAACCCACCTTATATAGAGGTGTTTACATCTCTCTCTCTCTCTCTCTATCTCTCTATCTATCTATCTATCTCTCATGTCACAAGGCTACTTTACCACATGCAAGTGGGTCTACAAAAGTCAAACCATTTACAAAATCATACATGGATAACTTTGTACCCAACACTAGGATCTAGGTTTTACTAGTTATGAGAACCTACTTTTGAAACGACTAACTAAAACTACAAAGAGAAATAAGATTACTAACCTTTAAGGAAAATAGAATTTGCTTATTGAATTCTTGTATCTCTCGAATTCCTTGATGCTCTTGGAAGATTAGTACCCAAAGTAGAATGCCTCTAAAGAATCACACCCAAAAGACTAAACAACAAAAAATTATGAGATAGGAGAAGAGACTTGCAAAACTCAAAATCTCATAGTGCAATTCTTGAGTTTTCCACTTTGTTTGCATTCCCTTTCTTTTCTTTACTTTCCTCATTCACCTTATTTAATCTCCTAAATCCTTGAATCTCTTCGAAAGCATCAATGGATTTAAGAAATCCATCTCCATAATTTCCAGTGCATAAACCTTCATACTCAAAATCACTTCATTTGATAAGATATCAAATGAGTTGGCAATACTTATGACAAAGTGGGCTCCAACGATAACATTCCTATGGGGTCATCCTCATTTATGAATTCCTAGATAGTATGGAAGACAATATGGCAAGTTCACATCTTCTTCATATGTCAAGAGTTCGTCTAATATGTAAAAATCATTGAGACATATGAAATCTTCATTCTCATGATGAGCAATGATACTTGAAATTACTTGGTAAATGATCCTATACGCAAGGCTTTTGATTCTACTAGATGGTGCATTTAAATCAAAGCTTCCATATCTATATTTCTTCCAAGTGTCATTGTGATCAAAATCTTGTGATATCTTTCTAGGAAACATTGATATATAGTGGTTGCATTCCTTGCTTAATGCTTCCTCTTTTGTGTATATTCCATACCTCCATGCCGATTCTAATACACTACATTAGCTTTTCCTCTTTGTCGGAAAGTTATTGCTCATTTTTCATGATAGTTGGTGACTTCTGGCTTAAAGATTAACGTAGCATAGAATTCTTGCACTCGTTCTTTGTAAATCACCTCCTTTATGTTAAACATGTTGCTCCATGTTTTATATATATATATATATATATATATATATATATATATATATATATATATATATATAAGACAAGTCTTCATCTTTTATCAGTATTGTCTTTATGGGATGCATGTCTATGTCAGTGATCGATTTAGATTGAGGCAAGTGTTCCCCAATCAAGTGCTTTAGGAATCTTGATCTCCTTTTTCTTTTAGATTTGCCAAATGAGAGTTAAAAAAAATCTTTTGTACCCAAGGAATGTCCTTAAACTTCAAAAATTTGTGTCTTGACATCTGTAATGTTATATCAAATGAGTTGGGCAATAATAAGCAGTTGATAGTTTCTTATGATTAGCACAGTTTTCTCCGCACGATTTAACAATCACGGTGTAAAAATCGGTAAATGAATTTTTTTCGAAAATTTTCCTGAAACAACATTTTTTAATAAATGGAACATTCCAGCAAATCAAATTAACCGAAAAATCAAAGCTTGGTATTCAAAGAAATTTGTTGTTGTTCTTAGTAAAAGAAAAGTTTCTAAACAAAATATCATCTCAAGGAGAAATAGTGTTCATTTGAATATGGATCAATGAAAATCAAAAACATAGTTGAAAAATAAGCAATCAAATTGAAGAATCAAAATGAGAAGTTTTTCATACATTTTTGTCTTCTAGAGGAAAAAAAGAAATTAGGGTTTTTGAATTATTTTAGAGAGAGATATATATAGAGAGAGAGAGAGAGAGCAAAAGATTTGAGATGAATTCTCTGAGAATAAGATATTCAATATTTACAAATTTGTTTTACGGCTTAAATCTCGACGCGATTATATATACGCGTCGCGATAGAAGATACTTTACGGTTTAAAGTCGGTTATCAAAATTGCATTGCTATTATATTGTCTAGTCACAGATTGTTTATGAAAAGTTCTAAACCTGTTGTTTTATGATTTTTCCTTTATTTAAATTTTAAACTCAACTTTTCATTTTAATAGTTCATTCACTTTCAGAGAATAAAAGTATTGAAATTTAGTTATAAAAGTAATGCAAAAAAAAAAAAGACAAGAAAATGAAAGTAAAAATGTTCAAACCCACTGCCGGGTTGCCTCCTACAAACGCTTCTTTATGGAGTCTTTAGCTAGACTCCTCATGTCTACATTTTCTTTGGATTGGTCTCCGTGTAATTTGGTAGTGTCCCAGGAAATCTGTCTTGTAGAACTTTGGAAATTTGACCAACTTGATTTTCTATGTTCGAAATTGAAGCTTGTTGATTCCTAAAGGTGGTTTCTATTGTGGCACTTAGTCTTTTGATAGTTTCTTCTTGGTCAATCTTTGTGACCAGGAAGAAAAAAGGGCAAATTGTCGAACTGGTCAGTGGATGTGATGGCTCATGGGTTGAGGTGGCAATAATGAGCCTTTCTGGAATCGCAACAGGTTGGTGATGATAGAGGCGGATTAAGTAGCCGGTGAGAGATGGAAAGGGATTGGTGTTGGCGACTAAAGAGGCGGAGGACAATACTCTGGACTTAGGAAGATGGTTGTATATTAGATTAGGGTATACTATATGTTTTCTTAAAAAAAAATTCAAAAATAGTAAATATATAATTGTTTTTATCAATTTTAGTATAAGGACGAATTTGTCATTTCACAAACATTTAACGGTGAATCTCAAAGGGAGTTAGCTTCACGGACCATCAACATAATTTAATCAAAAGTTAAACTAAAAATATAGATTTGGACCCCACTAAAAAAACATTTGTAATTTTGTAGCTTATCTAACTAGCCATGTTACCATGTGTATTACACATCCCACAATGCTCATTAACCATCATCCGAACCCTATAAATACGCTGCTCCGGTGCTCCCTGTCACATTCGATAACTGCCGTAGACCACAAACACTCCTGGAATATTCTTCTTCTTCTTCATATTTTCTCTCTGGATCTTCTCTCTGAGAATTTCATACCATGAAACTGGACCAAGAACTCAAACAAGAAGGTGGTAACGTGTGCAGAACGATCAAGTTCGTTGAGCCACTTCGCACGCTATCAACAATGGCTACCGGGAAAGTTGATGCTACCGGCGAAGTGCTATATCCTCCTCTTAACTTCTCCATGGTCGATTATGGAATCTACCGTTCTAGTTTCCCGGATTCTGCCAACTTCTCGTTCCTTAAATCCCTTGACCTCCGCTCTATCGTGTAAGTCAGTCATTATTTACTCGATCTTAAAGCTAATTGTCAGCCGGATAACATTGATTGCGTTTAGAAACTCTAAGAGTCATAACTTCTAAATTCTGATCCTTGATTTTTCAATCAACACATGAGCATTAGATGAGAAATCGTTTGTTATTGCGTTCTTCATATCAATTTTCGCATCACATTCATGTGTTAACAGAAATATTACAGTTTTGGGGGATTTTTTGTTCTAGATATCTGTGTCCTGAGGCATATCCGGAGCATAATCTGGAGTTCCTGAAGTCAAATCGGATTCAATTGTTTCATTTTGGTATTGAAGGCACTAAGGTACGGATTGCGATCGTTTATTTTGTCATTTTTGTTTAGAGATTTTGTAGACTAACGGACAACTCCATGTGATAATTGATGGTAAGTTTGTTGAATTTCATCATGATCTCTTCCTGTAATCATGAGATTAGTTGAGATCTGATAGTTATCTTATCATGTTTCCTTCTAATTTTCTACTTATCCACCATTCACCTATTCCACAAATCTCAAATTTGTGTTTCTGATTTATCATTTTTACATTGAAAGCTCAAAATCAACAACTGTACCTTCATTTATCAAACTTGACAATCATTTTCCCTGAAAGAATACGAGAAATTTTGTGCTCATAACTTGAGCTGAGCAACATAAATTCCGAAGTAGGAGTGTAAGCCTATTTGACTTACATATCTAAGTATTTAAGTCAATTCAGGAATCAAATAGGTAATACTGAATCTATCTCTTTAACACTTTCTAAAGCATACATACTTAAAATAATTAAAAGATGATGTAACTGCTAGAATGTTTTGGATCAATAAACACAAATTCACAAAAACAACACAAGAAGAAACAAATTAAGGTTTAGTTTATCAAATCATATAAATTATAATACCTTGTAATGATGCAGGAAAGCTTCTATGATATTCCTGAAGATACCATTCGAGAAGCCTTAAAAGTTGTCCTTGGTATATAACAACATATTCTTCTCATTTCATCTATTTATTTTATAAAATATAAAATGTAGCCTAATTAAATTGGATTTTACTTAGGGTAATATTCATAAAAGCCATTATATTTTTGTCCATTTTTATAGTAACCATTATAATTTTAATTTAGTTTCTTCAATAAAAACTACCTAAGTTTGACAATTTTTTCTTAGTCGACCACTTTGACATGACATATAACAGCTAAAAGTGGTCACAATAAAAATATTTGTCAAAGTTTAGTGGCTTTTATGAAAAAAAAATTGTCGCTAAACTTTGTCTAAAATTTCTATTTTGATGACTTTAACTCAGGAAAAAAAATATATAAAACTTGGTTGGTTTTCATTTACGCAACTGAGAGTAGTTGAACTGCAAAAATGACCAAAATATGATGACTTTAATGTATTTTTCCGTTTTACTTATTATTATATTTGTTGTTTACAGATGTAAGAAATCATCCTTTGTTGATTCATTGTAAAAGAGGAAAGGTATGTGTTATATCCACTTAAATATCTATATTATATATCTCCGGTTTCAACCATAACGTGAATTGACATATTTACCCTTTGATTCAGCATCGAACAGGGTGCCTTGTGGGATGTTTAAGAAAAATGCAAAAATGGAGTCTACTTTCTATTTTTGATGAGTACCGAAGGTTTGCGGCTGCTAAAGCAAGAGTATCGGATCAAAAGTTTATGGAGTTGTTTGATGCGTCTAGCTTGAATTTGAAGAGGTAATTCCAATTCCAATTCCAAATCCAATTCCAATTCCATTCAGAAGTAAAATGGAATAGGCCATGATTCCCGGGAATATGTGTAGTATGTTAGGAATGATGTTTTTTCCATTCCTTGAGGATTACATGAATAGATTTTTCTTAGTTTAATCCCATATGGCTTCGAGTAGTTAAACTTCTTTCATGTATTTGCTAAGATGATTAATTGTTGTAACATATATCTTAAGTTACGAGTGTTAAATAATATAAAGAAATTTTACTTAGGAACATTTTTCTGATTTACTATTTTCTTGCTGACGTCATAAACTTCTAATTTTGGAAAGCATTATAATAATGAGCTTTCGTGAGTGTTAAAATATTATCGAATCATGTATCTCGGACCTAAAGGAGGCATAGACTCGAAAAAAAAATCTATAATTGGGCCTTTGTAACCTTTTATAGTTTATAGGGTCCAACCGTCCAAACCATCCACACGTTTTAAGAAAATGTTAACTTCACAAAATTGTTCACAAGTTTTTTAGCCCAATTAAATAATATATTTATATATTCTCTATTATAAATGGATTGTAACATTTTTATTTGTATCAAATGTATTGGAAATTTCTAAACTATTCAAATTTCAACTTAATATATTTCATTAATTATTTTAAATATATTATTAAATATAAAATATTATCGTATTAAAAAATAAATTTTTGAATTATCAATATAATAAATTTAAATATTAATTTAAATATCATGCTAAATCAAAAATATAAATCAAGATATCAAATAAAATTTAAAAAATATTCAAAGACTTTTTTTTAAATAGTTTAAAAGGTTTAAATGAGTTGAGTATTTTAAATTTAAAACTTAAATATATTTGTCAAATTAACTAAAACAATATCTAAAACTATTTTTATAAGAATTTTTCTTTTCAAAGAAGTTTTTTTTATTTAATTAACATTAATAAAAGTTATAAATTACATAAAGTTATAAATAAAAATGGTTGATATTTTAAATAATTATAATGATCAAACTTATAAATTAAATAAGTAATTTTTAAATTAGTTAATCATATCATTAAAAGTAACAATAAATCGAAAATCATATTTAGTTTCATTATCATGCTACTCACGAGTAGCGTCCATTAAAATATATATTTAAATAGATATTATATTATGGCTCAAAATAATTACAATTTTATATATCAAATTAATTTAAGAACTTATTATTTCATGGTCAATATTACTGACATAATTATTTTTGACATGAAATTGCCAAATGTTAACTATATAATTTATTTAGCACAACACGTAGATATTCACCAACTTTAACTATAAAATACAAGCATAAAAGATCTAATAGTATAAAAACTTGAAATAACTTGAAAAATAGAGTTTACTATATGAGAACATTTTACTCTTCAATAATATCACAACTTTGTGCATTTTTCTTTGTTGTGGAATCAGATTGGATTATATTTAAAATGCTTTTTTTCCGAGCGAAATTTAAAACTTAGATTTTATTATAAAAGAAAGATAAAACTATTAAAAATGGTCCTTATGGTTTGCATTCATTCAGAAACTCAGTCCAAACCCTTCAAAAATTATAGAAATAATTCTTTTACGCTTGGCTTTGTTGCATATTTGGTCCCTGTCTAAACTAAAAAGAATATTATACCCTTATGTATTATTATTTAATTTATAAATGATTTTTTTTTAAATATTTGTTAATTATTAATTAGAAAAAGGGTTTTCTCTCTCACTCTGCTGGTCTTCTTCCTCACCTCACGTGTTTTAATTTCTCTTAAACTGAAGGTACGAGCAAAACACCGAGCAAAAAAATAGCTAGGTTTAAATAATTTTGAGAAGTGATGACTAATATGGCGAAGCTATGAAAGTACCAGGTTGGGGCATGAACAAATTGAAGTCATTTGGGGCATTTCCACAAAGAGTTGGTGTGTAACTTGAAAAGTTCACCATGGAATCTTTGTTTTCACTTTTACTTGTAATCTAAATTGGAGAAGGGGTCAACACAATTGAGGAAAATGAAAATATACACATAAAACTAATTTCTTAAATCAATTACTTTTACCTATGTGTAAGAAATCAGTCATGGGGTCGGCTTATTAAGCTTGAAACAAAGAAAAGAGAGACCAGAAATTGAGCATTCCTTCATAATTATGATGAAATTAGAAGTCTCAATAATCAGTTGGAACACTTTATGAGAAAATGACAGTTGTGGTCTAGTTGATGAAAGAAAGTTTTCAATTGTATCCTTTATTGGATTGTAAAACCAAACACCATTTGATTGAAAAAGCATGAAGTGATAGGGTTGTTGGATATATCAATCAGGAGGATTAAATTTCCGACCAGTTGAGCAATTTAAAGGGTCGATGAAATTGTAGGGAACATGGAGCATGAAGTAGCTTATAAGTGTATAAGAAACAACGGGTACAATGATGTTATTAAATTGAAGTATGTGGATTTTGAGTTACACATCAGGTGAGGAAGAAGATAATCGGAAGAGAGAGAGAGAGAGAGAGAGAGAGAGAGAACCCTTTTTTAAATAATAACTAATAAATATCAAAAAATCATTTAAAAATTATATATAATAAAACATAAGGATATAATAGTTTATTTGCTACTTTAAGTCAATTATTCTATTCTTTTCAATTATTATCAAGGATCTGAGACCAATATATATGCTACTTTATGTCAGTGATATTATTCTTATGACATCCTCGATCATTCTAATCACTAGAGTTACCTCTCGTATGTCGAGTGAATTCCCTTTAATTGAATTAGGCCCCCTTTCTTTCTTTCTTTCCTAACATTACTAATGTTGGATTACGGTGATGCTTTAAAAAGGCATAAAACGCAATAGAAGCAAAATTCAATCCATAATCCAAAAGTATCACAAGTTCCTTGATTTAATGCAACAAACTAGAACTAGAAAGTGAACATAATACCTTTCTTGTTTTCATTTCTTCTTACTTTTCTCTCGTATGATTTAAGAGCCCAAAACATAACTTCTCTCGTGTTGTAGTCCCCTATACGGCGATTCAAGCAACAAAACTTTTCCCTTCTTATTCCTTTTGGCCAAACCAAACCCTAGCTTGAGTATGTGAAAAATCAGAGAAAAAAAAAGGAAGAACCTATGAAAAAGGAGGGAAAATGAAGGAATATTGGTCGAAGGTTATGCCTTGGATCGATTAGGGTATGGATTTTAAGGCATTATTCTATTGTGGCTTGGTACAGTTATTCCTTAATGAATAACCTAAAATTTAGCTAAAGTTGCCTTTTAGTCAAATATTGACCAAAAGGGCAATTTGGTCAATTATGAGAAAAGATGAGAATTTAAAGTGGTAACTTCATGAAAATGGCCAAGGTAAGTTTAAGTCACTAAGAAGAGGTTGGACGAATAAGTTCAAGAGAAAGAATGCACGAGAATATGCATTATTGGTCAAAAGGGTAAAATGGGTATTTTATGATCTGTAGACCAACTTTATGACTTAATAGATTAAGGTCCATATTAATTCAATGAGAAGTGACTTAACATATGTGTAGAGTAAGATCCCACCTTCGTGTAGATATAAAGAACATCGAAAACGGGTAAGAAATGAACAGGATATGAAGGACGAAATTTGGGACAAAAATGTCCCAAAGCTGAAAGGGAAAACAACTAAGGGTTGCTATCAAGCCGAAACCGCGGCATAATGAACTAAGTGCCATGACACGACGAGTGTCACACATAAGAAAGCATAGCATCGTACATTGATCCGCGGCACGGGCACATGGATGCCACGACGCGGTGGCCAAAGTAGGTTGCAAGTAGGGATAGAGTACCACAGCGTGACAAGCATTTACGCAACCATTGACCTCGGGTCAAAAGGTCACCACGGCACGGCGAATAGGTAACCACAATGCGGTTATGAGACAGATGAAAGGGTGTTAAGCCCTTCGCTCTTGTCATTTTGCACCCCAGACACCTCCATAGCCAAGCTCTGGCAATTTTGAGGTTTGAAAAGGATGAAGAAGCGATCAATGGTGCATATAGCTTAGTTTGAAGGTGGAAAACTCATGAGGTAATCAATTTCTCCATTTTTAAGCTAGTAGAGCTATAATGGTGTTTTTGATTAATTGAGCTAGTTATGTTAGATTAGAGTAAGAAATATTGTTAGTAATGTCAAAGAAGGTGTTTAGATGCCTTAAATAACCTTTATATGCAATCCCCATGATGGGATCAATCCAATGAGAGTTAGGGTTTGAAATCCTAACTAGTGATTGTGTATGTAATTGATGTATTAGAGTAGATTATGATGAATTAGGTATTATGAGATGCTTAATTCTTCAATTGAAGGAGATTAAGAGTTAAAGAATGAAGTGATAGAAACTTGATCCATTAAAAGGACATTTTGACCTTAAGAATCATTAAGTTCTTAATAGGTTAAGACAAGTATTGAGATACTTGTGTATGTGTATGAATATGCCTAAGAGCAGAGAAGATAGATCAAGATGCATCAATGACAGAGTAGAGGAAGATGGGACAGTTACTCATCACTAACTAATAAGGTGAGTTATTACTCTCACTCTCCCTCTTTAAGTTAATTTATACATTTTATGTATATATGTATGTATGTATGTATATGTATGATAGAGTCATGTATTTGAGCATGACAAAGATGAAGGAAAGATAGGGTTATATAGATTATAACTGTAATATCCTGTTTAAAATAAATAATAACAATAATGATAATAATAATAATAAATAATAATAATAATAATAATAATAATAATAATAATATAATAATAATAATAAATAAATAAATAAATAAATCATAAATCCTAATACCCCGAGTTGTATTTTTATATATTTCTATTTTAGCCCTAAAGTCGTATTAAATTAGTGGGGTGTACACCTGGGGGTGTTAAAAGTTATATTTTATGGATATTGAGGGTTAAATTGTAACAATTGAACTAGTATTGAATAGATCTATGTAAGCAGGGGGCTATAGAGTAAATTATGGACTTAAATTGAAAAGAATGGAGAAGGAGGGGCCAGAAGTGTAAAATTGGTCATAAGTTTGAGGTGGAGGCGGGACTAAAACCCATCACCTCCCCCTCCTCTTGTTCCTTAATTTAAATGGTAACCTCAAACCCTAACCCTAAATTCACGTTCCAGCCGCCACCCTTATCACCCCTCACCTCCAGCCGCTGCCACCTCCATTGTCGCCATCATGAACCGCCGACCACCCCGATGCCGACGAAGACGAGAACCGCGAGACTCAGTCACGTCAATCGTAGACAGGAGGAGCGAAGCCATGCCCGACGTTGCTATTGTTCTTGGTTAGAGGTCGCGCGAACCTATCCCTTCTCCGCCTCTTTTCTGTTGATACGTTGTTGCCGCCGCCGCTCTGAGCGCCTTTCGTGTTTTGTCAACCGTTGCTCCGACAGCCGCACGCCACCATGAGGGTGGTTGAGTTTGGTTGCATGTTTTAATGTTGGAACTCGTGTTCATGTGTGTGAGTTGTTTCTGCAAGCCGTGAAGTGGGTGTGGATGTGTTTTGTTGTGTATGAATGATGTAGGAACTTTTATGTGTACTTAGATTGTTGGATTTATCACTCGAAACCGCCACCGCTGCCGTGTGTGGGTGGCTGCCGCCACGGACTGCCGCCGACCACCACTGCCCGAGGTGGCAGTGGGTGGTGCCTGACTTATTACATATTAATTTTTACCTAATCATCTAACTTTAGTCTGAGTGGCATGTGTTTGGGGTTAGAAACCCTAATTAGGGTTTAGAAAACCCTAATGTCAAGAAAACCCTAGTTTTGGAGTTTTGTCAGGACCCGCGTTAAAACCGATAATTGAACTTTAAATAATGCAATATTTAACTTAATGAATTAAGTCCTTAAGTGGTAAGGTGTGGAACACTAACACTAGTTATGATTTTATGTGGAAAACCCTATAATAGAGGAGCTCTATTTTGGACAATGATTGGGCGCGTATTTGGGCTATTGATTAGATTATTATTACACCCGGAAATGACTAAGTCAAGTGTTAATCAACCCTACCCTTAGGTGATTAAGTACTTAATGTGTTAGGTGTTCTTACTTAACCCTAATCGTCATTTTATGTGAAACCCTAATCGTCATTTCATGTAAAAGAGTCATTGTTGCAAGTGACTATGACTTGTAATCGGGAATTGACTCAAGTATCTTCCCGTAGGTGATTGGAAGTGAGTTGAAGATGGTAGAGTTCTTCATTGCTACGGTGGTTACCTACACGTATATCGAGGTGAGTTTCGCCTCACTGTACTCGTGGGTCGAAGGCACCAATGCCGGCCCACTAGTTTTGGTTATCTGCTAGTAGATGGATGCTCTAGGGACTGTATATAGTCATGTAGGATAGACTGAAGACTCTTGGTCTGGGCCCTTTTTCCTATTCCTTGTTTAGTTGTGGTTCTAGAGTGGGATCACCTGTCTGGGTTTCTGTCTCACCTCTGGGTATATACGGTCATGCATTCCTTGGATTGTTGATATTTAGTATGATACTATGTTGTGGTGGTCTGTTAGATCTGTGTTTTGGTATCGAGTATGTTGCTATACTGTAGTGATCTGTAGTGACCTGATAGATATATATTCTGGTATCAAGTATGTTGCTTTGTTGTAAGAAATCGGTAGAACTGTATGTTGTTTGTGCTTGCTGTTTGTCATAGATGGAGTGACCTTAGGGACTGTCTGTGGTCATGTAGGCGAGCCTTAGAACTCTTGGTCTAGGCTCTCTTGCTTGTTCCTTGTTTGGTTGTGGCTCTAGAGTAGGATCATCTGTTCGGGTGGCTATCTCACCTT